CTGCTACTCCCTCTCTTAACCTAAGTGCTGCTGCAGAGAATGACAGAAAGGTACTTGTGTTTGTGATGAACACGGTGCCCAACCCCTGCCCTTCTCACCAACTTGTGACAAAGGGCCAGCCAATCTCACACCGCGCTGTCACTTAAGTAATAATGCCACTCTCAGCTGCACCCTGCACAAAGATTTTCCAGCTCCTATATGGAAGAAAAATATGTTTTAAAAATATTCTTCCCAAATATATTGCCATATATTTTAAATGCTACAATTTTGCCCATATTCAATATATTTCAATAAATAAATATATATATATACACTGTATGTTGAAATTACAAAATATGTGACAAATATTTTTAAAAATACATTTCAAATATACTGTATGTTTTTAAAAATACAAATCTACATTTTTGGAATGCATTTACAAATATATGTAAAAATATATGTTAAAATTACTTTTTATATGTTAAAAAAATCTGAAGAATATATTTTAAAAAATATATATTTTTAAAAATATATTTTTTTTAAATATATACTTCAGATTTTTTTAGGCATTTTTTTCCCTCTGTTTTCACCTGGTTATCTGGCTAGTAACACACCTCCTGTATTAGAGTGCCCCCACTCTGGATGAAGGAGCACAGGGGAGACTTTGGACAGCAGAGTTGTCATTCTGGGGGAAGGGGAGTGTTAGATGTACTAGCAGATTTCAACCAAGGGCGGATTGACCATTGGAACACTCGGGCGCTGCCCGAGGGCCCAGGGTCAGTAGGGGGCCCCATGAGATACCCCTGGTACCTTTCATTGGCTTTTTCATAGGCTTTTTTGGGTGTTGGTGAGGACACAGGGGCCCCATGATCCCTTATTGCCCGGGGGCCCCATGAGTTGTCAGTCCGCCCCTGATTTTAACACACTAACAAATTGAAGCTAAACTCCAGGTAGTAACACTTTATAAGCAGTTACAGCAAATACGTTTTTTTCTTTCCTTTAACGGTGGGGTGGTAACCCGGGTGATGAGCCACCATCTTACTGCGATGTGGGGAGGTCAGCTCTCGGCTGGAACAGCGTGGTGGCTGGAGGGGAACAGCGGTGAGGCCGGCCGGTGTGCATGTCCTCCCTCAGAGCCGGATGGAACGCACGCTGGAACGCAGCGGCGGCGTGGCCGTGATGACATCAGATCCCAGGGTGCACTGCGACGCGTTTCGGAACATGCGCTGGCTGTGGAAGGCGGAAGTGCGCTCCTTTTTTAAGCAGGGGGAGGTGGATGAACAGGGGTGAATATATAGGGAACGTGAGATCAAGGTTTTCCATAAATAAATAAAAGCTGATCGTTGTAAGCACCCCTGCCAATGTTAAATAGTTTGTCTCATGCCTGTAACTAATACAATCTGCAGGAGAGCTTGTTCTTTTAAAAAAACAAAAGCCTTAGTGGACAGATTACCAAATGAAAAGAAAAGAAAGCCTAAAAAAGAAAACTAATGCAGATAACACATCTAAGAATTGGTAAGCTGCAATAGAATAAATGTTTACTTTTAAGTTTCTACCACACTTTAACATAAATTGTCCAATGCAGACATGGGGCCCCAGTAGATTTAAAGACGCCATGCTGTTTGATAAAATATAGTTAAATGCAGATGACATACCTGTAGGCCATTTCTGTCCCCCCCATGCAGCCTGGCCCTAATACCCCATTGGTAACATCCTTGCATCCTGAGTTAATTTCAGGACACAGCAGTGGTTAATACTTGCCCGTAGCATCCCAAAAGTGAGCATGTTTCCTGTTTCCAAATCTACACACACTGCATGGGGGACAGAGGCGGCCTACAGGTATACCATCTGCATCTAACTATATTTTAACAAAAGTGCACAGCTCATTTAAAACCACTGAGGCCCCTTGCCTGCATGGACAGTTTCGGAAAAAAAGTGAACTTAGCCTTGAAATGCAAAACTTTTTAGGCTTTTCCAAAGTGTACCTTTAAATATTTTACAATATCTGAAACACACTGTTATAATTTTTAGTTTGTCTTCAGTTTCCTGAGAACTTCCTCTGCCCGCCTTGATTTTTTTTTTCGCTCGTCAGTTCTCTGGCGCAGAGTGCTGTATCTAGATTTACATAGCTTGGATGCTTCCAAGTGTTGCAAATCTCCTCTTATCATACAGGCAGTAATTCCAATAAGAAGCCATGTCAGGCCTCTAAATAGGCTGTAAAAATAGTAAGACATAGTAAATACATTATAGTAGGAATGTGCAGCATGGACCAAATCATGCCGGTATTTCTGTGATAAGGAAGATGTGTTTCCACTCCCAAGTAGACATAATACACATAAGATTTCAGATGCCAGAAGTCAAATGTCAAATATGACAATTGGTATTAACTGTTTTAAAGTCTGTAAAAGAACAGTCATAATGCTTACCTGTTGCATCACACGTCTCCGATCTTCCCTCTCTTGCAGGGCAAGTGACGTAACCCCGGTGGATCCACAGCTTTCAGCTGCAGGTACTCTTCTGGCCTGCAGGCGGCACTGTTCCATTGTTGCAGGGGAAGAGGAGTCTATAACAGAAGTTGGCCTCTGTTATAGACTCAGTTCACACTAGCTTTGTCAACAGGCGTCAGGCAGGCGTTTAGGAAGCGTTTTTAACGCTTCTCAAACGCCTATGAAAATTCTGCACATGGCAGCACACAGTGCTGTTCACAATGAAGCGTTAGCGTTGCGCCGCGTTGTGTCGTGGCACAACTGACGCCTCATGTCCAGTCAGGAGGAGTTGAAGCCTCCCATTCAGGTCTATGGTGCCGCTCTTCAAATGCCTGGCAGGCGTTTGAAACGCAGTTGCGAGGCGTTTGCAGAGCATTAATACCATTTAAAACTCGCTGGATATTGATAGTGCTTAGCATAGACTTGGAATAAAGAATGCACTTTTTATGGTAGATTAAGAGGCATTGATTGAGAATAATGACAAGTACATCAAACCAATGCGTTTCGGGAGAAAAGACTCTACCTTCTTCAGGGATGTTGCTGCACTAAACGCTTGTTATATATTTTCCAGATCTCGGAGGAAAAGCTGACAGGGAAAAGTTCATGTAGGGACAAAGGGCACTGTCTGGTGTTTCAGAACCTTCCAACCTTCCAAAAGTGGTGAATGCACTGTGAATTGTTCTCTTCCACCCAGGGGCGGACTGACAACTCATGGGGCCCCCGGGCAATAGGGGATCATGGGGTCCCTGTGTCCTTGCCCAAACTCAAAAAAGCATATGAAAAAGGTACCAGGGGCATCTCATGGGGTCCCCTACTGACCCTGGGCCCTCGGGCAGTGCCCGAGTTTCCAAATGGTCAGTCCGCCCCTGGTTCCACCACCCCTCCAACAAAAGCCATCCTCCAGTAACATCTGGCTCAAACCTATTACAGTGGCTGTAATAAACTATTTGGTCTTTTAAGTGGCTTGAACTGTATGAGCTTCTAATACACTGCAAACCCTGACTTTGATTTCTTCCAATAAAGACATACCTCTATGTGAGGTTTATATGACTCATAGCCACATTCTTCTTAGCGCTGTTTCTTGGGCATACATTCACCACTTTTATCAATGCGACACCAGCAGCAGTGGACAAGTGTCCCCCATATTTGAGCCTATGCACTATGATCCTTTGTTCCAGCTTGCAAGAATTTAGGTGATTGTGTCAGAGAACAAGAAAGGCATCAAGAATACCTCCAGATGAGAATTTTACTTTAAACAATTGGCTGTCTGGAATCACACAGAATAGCAGAAAAGCAACTTTGTTAGCCTCATTAATGGGCTATCTGCTTCTAGCAGTTTATGATCTATTTCTCTAGGGATTACATTAGTGCTGTACAATATAAAAATCGTTATTTATGGTTCCTTTACAATGAAGACATTGAATTTAACATATAGTACAATGTAGATTTCAGACAAACTGAATGTACAAAGAACAATGCTGACACTGGCCTTGTTCTATGATGACAGTGCTCAAAGCACAGGGAAATAAAATGTTGAGGTAATAGGTTGTACCAGGGGCGGACTGGCAACTCATGGGGCCCCCCGGCAATAGGGGATCATGGGGCCCCTGTGTCCTTGCCCAAAAAGCCTATGAAACAGGTACCAGGGGCATCTCATGGGGCCCCCTACTCACCCCGGGCCCCTCGGGCAGTGCCCGAGTTTCCAAATGGTCAGTCCGCCCCTGGGTTGTACTGTAGTATCTTGTTGTCCCTGGATATATGAAAATAGCTAAAGTAAAGTTTTCCTTGGATATTGAAGGGTGGTATAGCTAACTATAGACATCAGGGAATAGTTGAATGTCCATGCTTGATTGTCTACCAGCACAGCTTCATCGCCAAATAGAAATGATAGGGTTTCCCTGTGCATTCCTGTTAATAGAATTGAGACGCACCGGGAAGAATGCCTTTACTCTTTGCAGGCAAATTATGGACCGCACAGGACCATCTGGGTGTCCCCCATTGACATTAGGCACTGAGGGCTAGAGGAGGTGTTTTGTAGGTTTACAGGATGAATACAGTGCACAAGGGACTCCCCAGTGTGACAGTAATTCATATTCCTAGGAGCAGCTTGTGTTGGGAAGCAGCTGAACAGAATTACAAATATCTTGGCTTGTAAAATAGTTCACATAAATTTACACATTTATACATTTATAAATTTCAACTGACCATGTATTTATTTAAAGTTTGAGGTGGCTTCAGTGACTAAAGTGTATCCATAGTAATAAATTATTAAGAACCTTTTTTTATTTTTGTCATCTTTTTCTCTATGGGGACAATGGCAACCAGAACACATATACAAGGTGGATCTCCCCAGTGGTAGCACAGACAGCAATAAAAAGCTATGACAAGATAGCAAACGCTCCAACGGAGCTGCGATTGTTAAGGTGCCAGTAATATACTACAGTCAGGGGCGGACTGACCATTTGGAAACTAGGGCACTGCCTGAGGGCCCGGGGTCAGTAGCGGGCCCCATGAGATGCCCCTACTATCTTTTTCATAGGCTTTTTTGAGCTTGGGCAAGGACACAGGGGCCCCATGATCCCCTATTGCCCGGGGGCCCCATGAGTTGTCAGTCCGCCCCTGACTACAATATAAGATTAAAATCATAATCTGCATTGGTCCATATTAATTATAAAAATACTCAGTATATCCATAAAAATAATAAAAACATTTTCCATATACAGACATTCTGGTTGGAATATTCACAGCATAATTTTACTGTAGATTCTGATGGTGCAGTGATCTCGACAAGTTTCGCCTATTAAAGTGGTAGTAAACTCCTGATATTTATTATTACCTACAGAAATGCTTAAAATAAAGTTTACTTGTAGGTAAAATGAATAACTCCTAAATGTGCACCGTTTAGGAGATATTCCCTTGCTTGGCAGCCGCTGAATGTCACCGGCGCATGTGCTCTGAAGGAACGGTATAATATACCTCCTTTCGGTCCTTGTGCACCTTTCAGTGCTATACCTGCTGCATTCTTTTCTATCAATATCTGCTATCAGCTGGTTTATCAGGACTGTGTGCAAGTTCACCAACGCCGCCTAAATGGGCCCCAACGATAAATGGCAGAAGAAACCCCCCCCTCCTTAAGAGACTGCCCTTCTCATTGGACTACCTCTAATACACCCCTCCTTTTGTCCTTTTCTGTAATTTACTACTTCTTCTTCTACAAGTACAGTTCACACCAGTCAATCTAGGCCTAGCACAACTGCCATTAATGCGCCCTGGCACCATACTATTCCATTTGGTAGTTTTGAGGTTTATACTGCTCACGGCTGTATTTACGGTGGCTCTGCTGTTGTATATGCTGAACTGGAGACTAACAGTTAAATGGTTCTTAGTTTGTGGTCACTTATCATCTTTCATGCTAAAAATGTTAAATACTCTTTTATGGATCTAAACTACAGTATATTACTTTGTAGCCCACTAAATTTATGACAATGTATTCAGTCACTTTTTATTAAATTGCTTGATGCCTGTTGCTTTTAATGAGGTCTAAGTGTTATATCTAGTTTCTGTGCCCTTGCTTGGTCAAACATTCAATATGTGTGAGGAGGGCTGAGACTTTGAGCAGGTCGAGGCAAAGAACAGGGGAATCTGCAGCCCCTAAGGGGATCACGTTACACCTGGGTAACCCCAAACTATAACAAGCTGCTGTCCATGAAATTGCAAACCAGAATCAGTAGAGGTAATAAAAGTAAAAAAAATGCACCTGAGGCTAATTGGCTATGACATCCCTACCAGGGGCGGACTAACCATTTGGAAACTCGGGCATTGCCTGAGGGCCCGGAGTCAGTAGGGGGCCCCATGAGATGCCCCTGGTACCTTTTTCATAGGCATTTTTTAGTTTGGGCAAGGACACAGGGGCCCCATGATCCCCTATTGCCCGGAGGGCCCCATGAGTTGTCAGTCCTCCCCTGATCCCTACTCACCATTAGTCCCAGCTACTGGGGTAGGTGTTCTGGAAAGCGTAAGTGGGAAGGTTTTCCGGTCCAAATACCAGACATCTCGATCACATACTTCCTTCATCCTCTTTGGACTGGTGAACTCCATACATAATACCATATCACTGCTGACCATGCACCCCCAAAAGAGTGGGAAGAGTGCAGCATTGGGTCATTTGGACTATACGCTAATAAAAACTTGACAGTGGTCAACACTTTCCACTCTATTCAAAACTAAAAAAAATACGTTTTGGCTTTAAATAAATTCTAAATTAAACAATTTTTAATGTAACCCATTTTTAGATAAAAGTAGAAAAAAGCATTTCTGCGGCCCCTCCAGTTCTGCTCATAGGCCTCACAGTTTGGGAACCATTGTGCTAAACTACAGTAGGCTTTCTGTATATATTAATCTACAGTACGAAGGGAAGAATTATTTGTTCCTGGCAAAATTCAAGCTTCTTTTTCTTCTTTTAATGAGGTCTTCTGCTCCCGATGTTTAGAATTTCAACTCTTTGCCATTTATCTGCACGCAGCGGTATATATAGTGTTCATTAAATGTTGATATGTATACTAAAGCAATGACAGTTATCAGACTTGGCCATTACAGGGTTCCCACCAAACTATTACTGCTGTGTTTATATTTAAAGGGCATTGATCTTATGATTTTAAAAAAAGAAAACGCATGTCGCACTTAAGACAGACATCTGCCTTTACTACATTAACGTGTATCTAAACCCAAGAACAAAGATGTAATATACTGCAGCTTACCATTCATTAGATGCAGTGGCCTCATTAGTTTCCAGGCTTTTCTTTTTACTTTATTTTCACCTGGTGATCCTGCCCCATTCTGTCATAGGGTGCAACACTTATTCTCCATGCTGTATCTATGGAGGAGCAGCGTGGTCACCTTAGCTTGGCTCCTGATTTGGACTACAAAAAGTATCCCCCTTTCCTTACTTCTATAACACAGGGGAGAGTTGTTCTGTAGGGGGGAAGTGGGTGGGGCTGATAACATTGCTTGATATTTTAGTGCACCGGAAGTTAGCAGCTCACTGGATTTCTGGCAAAACAATGCCTATCTATTTTCAGAAAACAGGGGTGTGCAGGGGTGGAGCTTCACTTGGCGATTCTTTGAGATGATTTATACTGGTGTCCATGTTGCAGAAAACTCTTGAAGGATGTTTTCAAACGTACTGCAGTGTTAAAGCCCATCTACGAAATATTGATTCTGTCCTCGGGCAGTTCCCGAGTTTCCAAATGGTCAGTCCGCCCCTGAATACCACTAACAGTTGACCGTGGAATATTTAGTAGCAAGGAAATTTCACGGATGGACTTATTGCACAGGTGACAACCGATCACAGTACCACGCTTGAATTCACTGAGTTCCTGAGAGCGACCCATTCTTTCACAGATGATGTTTGTAGAAGCAGTCTGCATGCCTAGGTGCTTTATTTTATACACCTGTGGCCATGGAGGTGATTGGAAGACCTGAATCCAATGATTTGTAGGGTGCCCCAATACTTTTGGCAATATAGTGTGTGTATATATAATATATAAAGGGTAGTATTTTCTAAAGCAACCATTCCCTTTATTTGAAAACAGCACATCCTCATTAACTACAGTAGTTATGAATGATAATGCTGAGGTTATATAAAATGGTCTGTTTGAATTAAAATAGTATGCAGCCTACCAATTTCTAATAAAAAGGCAAAATACAAAGTAAGATGAAAAAGGCAGATGTTTGTGGGCAGCAAATGAATGTATTAGCAAAATAAAACCAGATGGCATTGCATAAAAATGTGATGTGTTGCATAAATGGATATTAAAGGGAACAGATCACATGAAAACAAAAAAAATCAAAATGTTGCAAATCTTAAAAACGACTTAAATTGCAATGACAAAGCCACAGAGGTAGACTTGGAAACCACTAGCACATCCGAGAAACACAGCACGCCCCAAATTCTCATTCCATATATGATAAAATGTTTGCAACCTTTAGGTGGACTCTTCCCTTGAAAATATATTTTTAAAGTCAAACCTCATTTGTTATATGTCTGAATTTAAAGAAAAGGTAGTACTGTAACCAGCTCTTTTAATGGCTGTGAACACCCATGTTCTCCTATTATGTCTGTGATGACTATTGATATTTGCGCTCAATAGGAACTAATGATATTGTGAGTTTTCAGTGATCAGTAGATTTTGCCAAAATGCCTCAATAATTAAATTTTTTATCAATGTATCTAAACCCAAGAGTAAAAATAGGAACTATATTGCAGCTTAGCATTCCTTAACTGCGGTGGCTGTGTTATTTTCTTTTTTCAGGCTTTTGTTCAGTATTTTCACCTGGCAAGCCTGCTTGTGACCCACTTCCTGCACTAGGGTGACAATGTACTGTATCTATGGAGGAACAGCATTGTTACCCTTGAAAAGACCTGCAGAACATCTCCCCTTCTCCTCTTCTCCATAACATGGGAGGAGGTTTCTGTAGTCCACAGTGAGCTGAGAACAATGCTAACTGATTACAGTCAACAGGGGCAGGCAGCATGGGAATTTTTCAACTCACAAAATTTCTGGCAGGATGAAAAGATATTTTTTTGCAACTATGGAACAGATATAACAAACTGCTTTCAACTGTATTTTCAACAGACCAAAAGGGCACAAATAAGACAATATTTTGTCCTGTAGTTATATTGAGGTCAGTGGAAGGAAGCAATGAGCACTGTGAAGGACACAGTAAGTTGACACCCCCGGAAGTGTCAGTTTCAGAAGAAACTTTACCCTGGTGATTTCTTTTTGATGGAGTCACATTCATTGTGGTGCAGAAATCAGGAGAGGAAACTATTTACAGTCTTTATTACGGGAGCTGCTTTTTAGAGGGGCATTTAAGATTGGCATCTAATTCACTTTTGGGTTCACTCCACCCAAATTGCCAAATACACAGCTGAAACACATAAATAACAGTGGTTTAAACCTACCAAATGGCTTATGATGTGGAATGCATACTGTTGTGATCACTTTTGCTGTGTTCGCTAGACACTGATGACATCAACTCAGAGCTCTGTTTCTTTTTAAACCAACTTTAATTATACCTGTCACCTGCTGAAACTGATTAAACTGACCTCAGTAATCCAAAGCAGTACTTCTTGTTGGTGATAAGGACGGGCTTGTCCTCTTCCATCCACTGCACATTCCTTTTGGTTTAGCACTGTGATACGGTAGACTTACTGGCTTATAACATAGAGCTGGTGACATGGGTGGGGCTTGAGAAACTCTTGCATAAGAGAGTATTGTGGGATTTGGGTCGTGCCCTAGGTGGTGGTGCAGGCATATGAAAGCATATTTATGTTTGCCAGAATTCTACTGCTGTAGTCATTTTACCCTTGTGCAATTACCTGAGATTTCTTTGTTGGATTGTCCTGCTTAGAGGTTGCCAGGTAGCCTTTATGTCTTCCTTGTCTTATGGGCCTTGGATGTATGGTGGATTCTCCTGTGGACTAACACTGGACCATTGTGGTCAGAGAGACCTCCCAAGTCCCAAGATTCCCAACATGGTATTAGGGCCATCTATAGTGAGGAACCTGAGAAAGTCATGAACCTGAGTGATGGTTACTTGAGTCCATCACTGAAAATCAGACTATAGGCTTCAGCATGGGAAATTCCTTAAGAACTTGCCGCAAGGGAATGCTACATACTGATAGGAGGAGATAGTAGAGTCACAGAAAGATGAGTTTATCACTGTGCTGTTTCTCCATTCAATGTACAGTCACAGAGTGGGTCAGGTCTAGAGCCACCTGGGTTCAGGTGAAATGGGGGTTAAATGATGTCAGCCATCATCTGAGTACATCTATGGCAGAAAGTAGGTACTGGAAAATAAAATCTATATAATGAAGTTGCAGTAAAAGCTGGTTTGTTAGTTTCTCTTTAAGGGGCTATTGACTTGTTAATGTTGATTGGAATTCTATCTTAAACTGGTTTTAAAGGTCAACAAATGTACTTTAAAGGAGAAGTAGGGTCAAAGCTCTTTTGGCCCTACTTTTCCTGTGAGTCACAGGAGTTTTGCACTCCTGTGACCCATATTCATCCACAGACTAAAGTCCACTGTCAGCTGACGTCACTTGGCCAGTCCAGATTCTGGAGGGATCCCGACTTTAATGTTGGGAACCACCCAGTTACATGACTGGCAGCTTGCTCAGCCTCTCAGCATACCTTTGAGAGCCTGAGGCAGCTGCTCCTGCCCCTTCCACAGGCAGGTGCTACCGTGAGCACTGTAGGGGCAGAACAGAGAGCTGGTAACTGACAGTCACCAGTTCTCTGCTCACTGAAGACCGAGAACTGAGTGAACACTCATTTCTCGATCTAAGAGGTGGAGGGGGACAGATGCAGAATCAGCTGATGCTTCATCCACCAAGCTAAGTATGATTGTTTTTGTTTTTTATTAAATCCCACACTTCTCTTTTAAAGAGCTCCCTCTTATAATATCAGCAAACCGAGCAAGCAATCCCAACAGAAGCCTGATTTCAACTTTCAGTTGGAGTATGGCAACTGAAGATAAAGTCAACTTTTAGGTGACTACATCAGCTTAGTTAATTATTTCTTTGTAGGAACATATACATAAATAAAAAGGCATTTTTATCAATTTGCCCAGCATTCTTCTTTAAAGCTCTCAAAAAAATGAGAAGAGTTTAAGTGATCTGAGTTCACTCCTGCAAAATGTCATGTATGGAGCCAAGAGCCTGCAGCTGCCAAATTTAGTGTATCCAAGCAGTCAGCACAACGGGATTCCGTCCAAGTTTCTGAACAAATTTTCCAATGTAATAAGAACAAGCACAAGGAACAATGTAAGGGATTGTGATATACATCTATTCCCCTCTTATCTTTTGATATTTACTTCCACTCAAGCTGGAGATAGCACATAATCTCTCTGCTAAATTTATGCCCTTATGAAAAATAAAGAGAATAATTTCAAATAGAAGGTTGCCGGAGAAAAATGTTATGAGCGGCACCTCTGTTTGTAATATATCATTATTACACACTCACAAGTTCTTCTTGGCTCGAAGTAAAGTACTATTAAAAGACAGTTAAGTACTAACCTAACATATATTATAAAACAAGGAGAAATACAATATTTTGCTGTGCTAGA